CCCTATGCCCTGCCGTTGGCCCTCCAGAGGAACTGGTTGGCCACCATATGAGACAGGATGCTGGACTGGATTGACCACTGGTCTGATCCAGCAGGGCTCTTCTGATGTTCTTATGAAGGACTCGGCCTCTGTGCCCTGTTGTTGGCCCTCCAGAGGGACTGGTTGGCCACTGTGTGAGACAGGATGCTGGACTAGATCGACCACTGGTCTGATCCAGCAGGCCTCCTGATGTTCTTAGGAAGGCCTCGGCCTCTCTGCCCTGCCATTGGACCTCCAGAGGAACTGGTTGGCCACCATGTGAGACAGGATGCTGGACTGGATTGACCACTGGTCTGATCCAGCAGGGCTCTTCTGATGTTCTTATGAAGGACTCGGCCTCTGTGCCCTGTTGTTGGCCCTCCAGAGGGACTGGTTGGCCACCATGTGAGACAGGATGCTGGAATGGATTGACCACTGGTCTGATCCAGCAGGGCTCTTCTGATGTTCTTATCGGGGGACGCATCGGCCTCTCTGCCCTGCTATTGGCCCTTCAGAGGATCTAGTTGGCCACACTGTGAGCCAGCAGACTGGATTAGGTGGACCTTCACTGGTCTGATCCAGCAGGGCTCTTCTGGTGTTCTTATGAAGGCCTCGGCCTCTCTGCCCTACTGTTAGACCTCCAGAGGAACTGGTTGGCCACCATGTGAGACAGGATGCTGGACTAGATGGACCACTGCTCTGATCCAGCAGGCCTCTTCTTGGGTTCTTCTTCCTGACAAGTGTTTGTCCAGCCACTGCTTGAAGGCTGCCAGTGAGGGAGAGCTCACCACCTCCCTAGGCAGCTGATTCCATCGCTGAACCACTCTTACAGTTAAAAAAAAAATCCCTAACATCCAGCTGGTACCTTCCTGCCAATAATTTAACCCCATGCTTGCAAGTCCTCTCCTCTGCTGCCGACAGGAACAGCTCCCGGCCCTCCTCTCAGTGACAGGCCTTCAAATGCTTCAAGAGAGCCATCCTGTCCCCCCTCAACCTCCTCTTCTCCAGACTGAACATCCCCAAGTCCCTCAGCATCTCCTCATAGGGCTTGGTCTCCCGGCCTCTGGTCATCAGTCAGTGATTAGGGACAGGTAGTGATTAGGTTTGCCAGCTCTGGGTTTGGAAACTCCCGGAGATTTGGGGGTAGAGCCCGGGGAAGGTGGGGTTTGGGAAGAGGCCTCAGTGGAGTAAAATGCCCTGCCTAGAGACCAAAGCGGCCATTTTCTCTGTTGCCTGGAGACCAGCTGTAATTAATTCCAGGGGATCTCCAGGCATTGCCAGGAGGCTGGCAACCCTCGTAGTGATCCTCGGGGTAGGAAGAGCGTGCGTGACAAGGCTGCAAGCCGGACCCTGTTTTCATCCGCGAAACGTTGGATGGACTGCCAGTTTGCTGCGGGGGAAACGGCCTCCGTTCGCAGGCAGCCACGACTGCAATCCATTTGCTTCTTCAACAATCCCCCCCCAAAGGAATAAGCGAAAGGGCAAGCCAGATTCTGGCAGAATCCAAAGAGCGATTAATGGACTTTAAATGTGAACACATGCAAAGGGAGGGAGAGGAAAGAGAAAGACAGAACCCAGACCACCCAGATTTGTGTAAACTTATTTGCTGGTTTTGGCACCCAGAGGTTGGGGTTGTTTTGGGCTTGTTTTTTTGTTTTTTCGCCCTTCTGGGGAAAGGAACCATGCGCTCGCGAAGTCACCGGCCCACTTTCCCACAGCAGTGACACCCGACAGGCGCAACGCACCAGCCAGCAAAATGTGAAAGACCACCTCCTCCTCCTCCTGCTCCCCACAGAAATTGCTTCTGCCTTTGTGTCAGCGTTATCTATGGGGCCCACAGAGCAGGGATCCCTGTATCGTTGGCTCCGGAATCATCAGCCACGTTGCTTCTCCGGGACGCGGGGCACAATTCCAATCCCGAGTTCAACCACAACGGCTGGTTCATAGCTCGTGAGTCAGCGTTCCAAGCCTTGGAGGGAACAGGCTG